AATCCTAGAATGATCTAATGGAGAAACTTACAAGCATGCTATAAGGAAGAAATATATAGAGAGAAAAACCCCCAACTATTCTTGCTACTGTTGAAGAACCTTTATACCCCCCGGGTTTCACACCACAAGAGGATCGTGGAAAGGCTTCTGCTACTGGTGTTACTACTGATAAGCCCCTATACCCTCAATGCTTTACACCACCTCATATTAGAGTACAACAATGAGCGACTTCTCAGCCAGGAAGGGTGCATATAAATTTGTCCAGCATTTTCTTAAACCAACAACAAATTGAAGATGTCCCAGATTTTGATGAGGTAGGTAGAAAAGAGACGAACAAGAAATTCAAAGAAAAATAGAAATAACTGGAGGAAGAAATTAAGTCTATGAAGGGGATAATAACATGTATGGGATTGATGCTAATGAGCTAAGTTTGGTTCCTGATTTAGTACTGCCACCCAAGTTCAAAATTCGGGTTTTGAAAAGTTTGATGGAAGGAAATGTCCTTATGCACACATTACGATGTTCTACAAAAATATGATCAGATACGTAGGGGATGATCAACTGTTAATCCATTGCTTTCAAGGGTGCTTACCAGGATCAACTATCTACTGGTACAATCAGTTGAACATGGCTCAAATTAAATCCTGGAAGAATTTGGCTAAAGATGTATACGCACGTGAAAGACGTGAGGCCTCATCGAATCCTGTTGTAGAGCATGGAGAGGAGGTCCAACGAAAGCTTCATGCAATATGCCCAAAGGTAGAGTGATGTAGCTGTACAGGTTCATCCACCACTTGAGGAAGAAGAAACTAAGATGCTCTTCGTAAACACTCTGAAAACTCCATTCTTTGGCCACCTTATAGGAAATTCATGCATAGTTTTTCTGATGTGGTCATGCAGGAGAAATGATTGAAATGATGATCAATAGTTGAAAGCTTGACGAAAAAGAATCTAACAGGAAGCCATCAGCGAAAAGAAAGGACAACGAGGGTAATAATGAGCAGAAGTATGAATCCAACAACATTACTATATCCTGACCTCAATCGTCCGTGTCAACTGTACAGAACCCTACCAGATAAGGGGCTAGTGAACTGAGACAAGAAAGAGAAAGGCTTCAGTTTGGCCCAATCCCTATGACCTACAAGGAATTATTTCAGATATTGTATGATAAACATGTGGTGTCGCCTTACCACACTTCACCAATGCAACCTCCCTACCCAAAATGGTATGAAACGAATGCTCAATGTGAATAAATCATGCAGGGGCTTCAGGGTATTCAGTAGAGAATAAATTTACTTTCAAAAATATCATTGAAAGATTAAGGCAGAGGAATGTCATCAACTTTGGTGACAGTGAACAACCCAATAAGGCTTAGAACCTACTGACGAACCATACTAGGGTAAGAGTCAATGCAGTTATTAAAGAAAGAGGAAAAAAGGTTATAACTGAGGTGAATAAGGTTAAGTAACCCATGCATTAGGTATGGAGGAAGATGATCAAGGTGGGCTTGCTGGTCTAAAACGTGGTTGACATGAGTAAGAATGCATGTCCATACCACAGCTGCGAGAATCATACCATACAAGATTGTGCTGAGTTCTGAACCTTAGTGCAAAGGCTGATTGATAACGAGGAAATAAAATTTTACAAGAAGCAGATGAGGAGAAAGAATCAGAGATTTATACATCTGAAGGTTCATCCAAGGGATTTTATAATACCGACCACCCTCTGGTCATCACGTCAAAAACTCATATGGCAGAGAGAATAACCCCTAAAGTGGTGATCACACCCCTACCTTATTTCCCTTATAAGGACAATAAACAGGTCTCCTGGAGATATGAGTTCCATTTGGATAATGTGGGCATTCCCGAGGTCGCCAAAGGAGTAATAGATGAGGTGGGGTAATTCACCAAAAATAGAAGATGTTATTCTGCCAATCAGACTAATGAACCTGAGAAAAGAACTGTTGTTGATAAAGGGAATAGGGTAGAGATATTATTCAAGGATGATGAGTTGGTTAAGCATAGTGAGTACAACATTGTGGAGCAACATCATAAATTGTCATCTCGTATATAGATCTTGGCTCTTCTTCTAAACTCCAAAGTACACCAGAATGCTTTTTGAAATTCTTGAACCAGACATTTGTACCAAAGGATGTGCCAGTGGAAAATATAGACTGATTAGTTGCAAATATCCAATCCAATAATTTCATATCCTTATTTGATGACGAAATCTCGTCTGGAATGACTGGTAATACCATGGCCATGTACATTACCGTTAGGTGCAAGGGGCATATGTTATATCGAGTGCTAATCAACAATGGATAGACACTAAATGTAATGCCATTGATAACTTTGAAAAAATTGATAGTCGATAGTACACACATGAGAAACTGCCAGAGTATCTTTCGAGCATTCGACATAACAAAGAGAGAAGTGCTGGGGAAGGCCGACATCCCCCTAACTATCGACCCATCTACCTACGAGGCTGAATTCCTTGTCATGGATATCATGCCGACCTATAATTACTTATTAGGAAGGTCGTGGATATACCAGACGAGGATAATGCCATCCATACTACATCAGAAGCTTACGTTTGTGATCGAATGGAGGTTGATATGTATTAGTACTGATGAGGATATTATCGTTTCTGTTTCTACCACTACTCTTTACATGGAAGTAGATAAGGATGCCATCGAATGCTCCTTCTGATCATTAGAATTCTTCAATGCCACATTTTTGGCTGAGGGGAAAAGAATATCTAAGCCCAAATGATCTAATTGCACCCGAATGGGATTAAGGTTGACGTTAGGAAAAGGAGCTAAGGCCAGTAAGGGGTTAGAAAGCTGCCTATAGGTATCTGTCAATCCAGTTTGTCCCATCATCAAGAGAGACAACTTTGGCTTAGGATACCACCCAAATTTGAAGGAAAACTGAAAGGCATTCAAAAGAGTCAGGAGAGAAGTAGAGCAAGGCTAGCCGAGGAGAATATTAAGTTGGAGCCTTTGACTTTTGTGCCACTATATGACACCTTCATATCCAGGGCCATTTGTTTTAGGTAGGCCAGTCATCAGAAAAGCCAGTTGTTGAGGATACCCTAAGGGATTTAGGCATCAATATGATATCAGAGGATGAGATCAAAGAATGAAGAACTATGGGCATTTATCCAGCACTACCAGGCTTCGTGCTAAACAATTAGACTACAGAAGAACTACCTATAGTTTACAAAACCTTTTCAGAGTAATGAACAAGAAACTTTCCCTATTGTCTAAAACCTGGGACAATAGTTGATCTTTTGTAAAGGGTTAATCTATGTGTTTTTAATTATTTAATTAAATATGTATTCCTATCAATTTGCTAAGTGGCAAACATTTTCCCGTGCATATTTTTTCATTATTTATTTATTATTTATTATTATTTCATTCTATTTGGATATGGGATAAGTTTTCTCCTATATGTATATAAGTATATATATCCACTCATTTTTTATTATTTCAGGACCTCCGATATTACTAGTATGAATGCGGATGACCCTGACCCAGAGATAGATTTTGAGCTGCCCATATATCAGGGGGAAGTCGAGGGTTGTGACAATGAGGAGGAATGTGAGTTACCTTATGAACTGATGAAATTGGTGGAAAGGGAGGATAAACAGATTCTGCCTCATGCAGAGCCTATTGAAATCTTAAATCTAAGATACGATGAAAATAAGAAAGAGATAAAGATTTACACTGCCCTATCAACTAAGGGACGAAAAAGTCTGATCGAGTTGCTTCAAGAATAAAAAGACGTGTTCTCTTAGTCATATGAGGATATGTTAGGTTTATATACCGAGTTAGTGGTACACAAGCTATTGGTAAAGCCAAAATGTAAACTGGTACAAGAAAAGCTCAGAAGGATGAGACCCAAAATGCTACTGAAAATTAAAGAAGAAGTAAAGAAACAATTCGATATTGGGTTCTTGAAAGTAGACAAGTATCTGGAATTAGTGGCAAACATTGTTCTAGTACCCAAGAAGGATAGAAAATTTTGCATATGCGTTGACTATAGAGATCTTAACAGGGCCAACCCTAAAGATAATTTCCCTTTACCGCGCATAGACACCCTAGTAGACAATACTGCTTGAAACTCCATATTTTCATTCATGGATGGGTTTTCGAGTTACAATCAAATAAAAATGCATCATGAATATATGAAAAAGACTATGTTTGTCACCATGTGGGGCACGTTTTGCTACAAGGTGATGCCATTTGGGCTAAAGAATGCAGGGGCAACCTACCAGAGAGCCATGGTAACACTGTTCCTTGACATGATGCATAAGGAAATAAAAGTCTATGTTTATAACATGATTGTTAAGGTAAAAACGGAAGATGAACATGTAGAGAATCTAAGAAAACTCTTCCAAAGATTAAGAAAATGCCAGCTGAAACTCGATCCAAGCAAGTGTACATTCGGGGCAATATCTAGAAAACTCTTAGGGTTTATAGTAAGCAAAAAAAGGGATTGAATTAGAAGACAAAGTCAAAGCCATTCAAAATTTACCACCCCCACAAACTCAAAAAGAAGTTTGAGGATTGTTGGGAAGATTAAACTATATTGTCTAGTTTATTTCAAAATTAACCAAAAAGTGTGATTCCATTTTTTGCCTTTTCCGTAAAAATATCCCAAGGGTGTGGAACGATGATTACCAAGGAGCTTTTGAAGAAATAAAGGGATACTTGTCAAATGCTCAGTCTTAATGCCACCAATCTATGAAAACCATTAATTCTTAACCTGTCAATCTTCGAGAATTCAATGGGGGTGTGTATTAGAGCAACATGACCAAACTGAGAAAAAAAAGAGCAATCTACTACCTCAGAAAAAAAGTTCACTGATTACGAGGTAAGGTACTCACTGATCGAGAAATTTTGTTGTGCTTTAGTTTGGACTACTCGAAGGCATAGGCAGTATATGTTGTATCACACTACTTGGTTGATCTCCAAACTTGATCCTTTAAAATATCTAATGGGTGTACCCACTTTATTTGGAAGATTGACTTGTTGGCATATTTTATTGTATGAATTTGACATCCAATATGTAATCCAAAAAGTAGTCAAATGGAGTGCTATAGCTGATTTCATTACAAGCAGGGCTTCGGAAGAATATGAATCGTTAAACTTTGATTTCATGGATGAAGAGTTAATAGCTATGTTAGCTGAAGAAGCAGTTTCCTCTAATGATGAATATTGGAAAATGAACTTCGATGGTGCCTCGAATGCCTTGGGACACGAGATTTGGGCAATTTTGGTCTTAGCTAATGGAGAACATTATCCTTTCACTAGTCGACTGAACTTCAATTGCACAAACAACATGGCCGAGTATGAAGCATGTATTCTGGGTCTCAGAGCTGCCATTGAGCGTAAAGTAAAAACACTCAAAGTGTATGATGATTCAATTCTAGTAATTTATCAACTTAAAAGCAAATGGGAAACGAAAGACCCCAAGTTAGTGGAATACAATTGGTTGGTCATGGAGCTTATCAAAGAGTCTGAGGAAGTGACATTCCATTACCTCCATAGAAAAGAGAATCAAATGTAGATGCTCTAGCCACATTAGCATCATCCTTCAAAGGCAATGAACATTCAAGTACGATGCCTATTGAGATGCAAACTTATGAGTATCCAGCCCACTGCTATAGTATAAAAGAGAAAGAGGATGTAAATCATTGGTATTATGATATCCTACAATACATCAGATATCAAAGCTACATGAGCAAACAACTGAGAATGAAAAAAGAACTATTCGAAGAATAGTTGCATGATATGTGCTTGATGGCAAGATCTTGTACAAGAAAAGTCATGATCATGTTTTTTTTGAGGTGTGTGGATGTTAGAGAAGCTAAAACGATCATAGAAGAAGTGCATGAGGGAGTATGTGGTACTCATACTAATGGACAGGCAATGGATAGACAAATAATGAGAATTGGGTATTATTGGTCGACCCTGGAAACTGATTGTATCAATTATGCCACAAAATGTCACAAATCCAGATTAATTGAGACAATCTCCATGCCCCTCCTCATCCATTACATGTAATGATTACTCCGTGTCCATTCTCTATGTGGGGCATGGATGTTATTGGGAAAATCTCACCCAAAGCTTCTAATAGTCATCATTTCATATTGGTGGCAATAGACTACTTTAATAAGTGGGTAGAAGAAACTTCCTATGCAAATGTCACGTAGTCAATAGTTTGCAAGTTCTTAAAAAAGAGATTATTTGTCGATATGGGCTGCCAGAAAAGATCATCACCGATAATGCCTTGAATTTAAATAATAAGATGATGGATTCAGTGTGCAAGCAGTTCCAGATAAAACATCATAATTCCATCACTTATTTCCCAAAGATGAATGAGGCAATAGAGGAAGCCAATAAGAACATAAAGAGGCTCATAGAGAAAATGACTGAGACTTATAAAGACTGGAATGAGAAGCTATCATTTGCTCTATTTTCCTATCGAACTTTTATAAGGACGTCAACTGGGGAAACTCTATTTTCTTTAGAATATAGGATGAAAGTTGTGTTACCTATGGAGGTTTAAATTCCGTCACTTCGAGTGCTATCATAGGTTAAACTAGATGAACCAAAATGAGTGGAAGCTAGGTATGACCAGGTGAATTTGATTAAGGAGAAAAGATTAAAAGCTATATATCATGGACAAATGTACAAGAAGCGTATGATGAGGGCACATAACAAAAGAGTTCACCCACGAGAGTTTCAGGAAGGAGATCTGGTACTGATAAAGATTCTACCAATTCCAAAGGATTTCAAAGATAAATGGATGCCAAATTTGGAGGGAACCTATGTTGTAAAGAAAGCCTTTTTCCGGAGGAGCTTTGATCCTCACCAAAATGGATGGACTAGAGTTGCCTAACCCTATGAATTATGATGCTGTCAAGAAGTACTTCACCTGAAGAAGGAAACTGAAAAATGAAAAAAGAAAAAGAAAGAAAAAAAGAAAAAAGAAAAAAAAGAGAATAAACAAAAGGGGGTTCAAGATGAAAATTCGTAAAGGGCGTATTGAAACCAAATGAGGTCTTAAGTCGAAAACCTACCAATGACAGCTTAAGAATTGTGTAAATTCAAAATTCGTGCACAGGGGAGGTTCTAAATTAGTTTTGAAGACTTGAAATGGTAGTCAAGGTTAGGACTGGAAATCGAAAAGGCTTGGATAGCCAGAAAAGAAATGAAGAATGCATGAGATTCAAATATTGGTTTATGATATCCAACATTCGGGGAATTTGGTAGTACAGGGGAAATTTCTTATCCTTGTGCATTGTCATCATCCTCAAGATCTCTTTGATAGAAGGTACACTTGAGTCATTATGTGGCGTGCCAGTTCAAAAGCATTCGAACTATTGATATATGAGGATGCATACTGTGTTTTCTTTTAATTATTCCAGTTAAAAGTTTGCCATGTATTTACCCAAAAACTCTTTATTCATATGAATAAAAGAGGTCTTTTTCTTGTTAAAACCATGTAGCAAGCATCCTAATTGAAAATAAAAACATATGGATAAACTCAGAAAACATGAGATCATCGTGTATTATTATACAAATTTTTTTGGAAAGATGTAGTTATTCCGAAGCTGAAAATGGCTTTAGCATGAGGCTTGTGTGATATTGGGCTACGAAAATTTAAAGCCTTAGGCTACACATAAAAGATTAATAACATGGGATAATCCAAGAGGTTTGTCATTGATCAAGTAGCTGGTCGTAGAGTAAACAGATTCAGAGTCATGTTTAACCAAAGAGTATCTGACCAGAGTTGTCAGTCAGGATGAACTACTATTGATTTCTTAACCCCAAAATTCGACTGAATTACCAGGCTGTTGACAAAATAGAGTTCTCGTTCGAAAAGAAAAATACCCTAAAAAGAACTATACCATTGCACACTATCCGTGAATTGTGACTATTAAATATGGTCGCGAAATATATGAAAATATATATAATCGAACAAGTAATACAGTGATGAGTGAGTATCGTATAAACAGGGATTGGAGGAAATTTATAAATTCAATCAAAACAATTATCTATTTTACTCAAGTATAGTTAGTGATGATATGTACAAATAAGAATGTTATGGCAAAATGAAATGGATATTGGTGGGAATGGAATGATGGTGTGATGTGGAAGAAAACATAGATGTCGTGGAAAAATTGATGGAAATGTAGTGAAAAATTAAATTGTGTTTAGTGCAATCAAATGAAAATGTAAAGGCAAAACAAAATGTAAACACTGGACTTGAATAAAATTACTTGACAATCCTCACACAACAAGCTACTATGGGAATGAATGATAGGAGTAACTTAGGAAACTTAAGTTTAAATCTCAGTATGATCTTACTTCTATGCTTTATCTGCCTGATAGAGTTTACTAATGGTGCCCTATGCTATCTTTAGTCATGGGACTCGACAGATTCAAGATGCCATGGCAAAACCTATTGGCGTTAGCAAGTGCAGGGATGCTATTGGTTCAGATAACATGATATGTCACGGCAATACCTTTTAGTAGCTGCACTAACATCTAACCTCTAGACTGAGCACTATTCCTTTTAGTCAATTGAAATTCTAGCTTTATGTCTAAGGTTGGATTAGGCCTAGTTACTTCCTAGAACCCCTTGCTTATGTGGATCCTCCCTAGTTTCTTTCGAACACTAAGGACATGCTACTTAGTCATTCTCTCGAACACTAATCAATCTCTTAAGGAATGGCTACTCTCATAGCTCCTACAACCTTAAGGCATTAATCATCATAAACAAAACAAATAACAACATACAAAAAAAAAACCATCCATTAAAGTAAAACTTAAATATCCATAAGGAACTCCCACCAAATAAGACTAGTTCATGGTGGGGTTCGAATATTCCAAGAAACGAGGCATGGAATTAATCTGTTCCATACAACTCAAATAAGATAAATAAAAGTAAAGAGTAAAAGAATGGAGGCAAAGCCTTTGATACGCGCTACTAGAGCACGCCTCAGCCACCACGAACTGCCCTAGCTCGCTAGCTCCTCTCAAATGCCTAACTCGTCCCTCCCTCAAGCTTGGTAATGGAGGAATGCCATGGAAAAAATGATTGACGAAAAAAGGAGTAACATTTTTCTTCCAGCCGCCTCTTCACTCTTTTCTCTAAAATCCACCCCCTTAATCTGATGGCTTCATCTCCTATTTATAGTGGGGAATAAACCTATGGTTTTGTGTCAAAATTACCATAGTACCCTGAAGTTCATTCTTTTTACATGAGAGATGGTGTAAAGGTGGTAGTGGAACCCTCTTATGTGGCTGGCAGCAGAAATCACGTCTAGAAAATGGCACCTAGCTATTAATAAAATATAATTTTTTATGCCCATAAATGCCATCCGAGTTGTCACGACATTCGTATTCTGCTAGGCATTTCCAATCATTGTTCCCAAATTTTGCACATCATCAAACAAAACACCTTCACCATAACACAACACCGATTTCAAAATAAAATACCATGACAAAATATATTTCCAACACGTGCAACTATATGCTCCTAATGCATCTATATGATCCTATATGGGCTCATAGACAGTCAATAACTTAAGTTAAATTACACTAAATATGACCCTTTTACAGAGTTATCACACCCCCAAACTTAAGTTATTGCTTGTCCTCAAGCAATGTATAGTATTAACCAAAATAAAAATACCATGGCAAGTTCAGGTTCAAGATAGTCATATGGGATAGAATTACAGCCCTCAGAACAGTTGGCTTCAACATACTGGACTAGTTTGAGAAATCAAGTACTATCCCCTAGGGCAAGATCCTTCGTGTGAGTGTGTGCATGTGATTGTATCAAGTCCATGCTTAACAAATCTAGAAAATTTCTAAGCAAGCTCTCTTGTTTTGCCTCGACATTTACAAGTTACACTCACATTGTTTTCTTACTCTTCTTTTTTAAACTGCTACGAAGGGATTCACCCATCACACCTACCATCCCACACTCTAGGTGCAAGGGAGCATACTATCCACCCCCGAGCTAGTCAGTTAGAGTTATCACGTGACTGTTTTCATTCACTCATATGGCGTGGCTGCCATTTATTTAAATGCAGTTTTTAGACAATGTCGTGGTACAGATAAAAGTCCCTCTACAGTATGTCAAAGCATTTATTCGTAAAATTTTTTAATTTTTTAATATATGGGATTTTCATCATTCAAAGACATTATCAAAGTTTTATGCGAAGACATGCAAGAGTTATCTTATAATTTTTTTTAAGTTCCTTAAGCATGTAGAATATACAATCGTGTATCCAAAGGTTTCAAAGAAGCAAGTCCTAGAGTTGGTTCTATCATCCTCAATAGTCATATACATTCAATTCTAGCCATAAAAAGTTTGTCATCATTGGGCATCCTTAATTTATTCTAGAAAACTAATTCAAACACTTACTAATGTAATGTCATATTCATTCTACTTATACTATCATGCAATGATTTGAGATGCCCTACCTCCCCCAAACTTGAGAGAAGCATTGTCCTTAATGCTAAATAAAAACTAAAGTAAAACTAAACTAC